ATTATGTCAGTACAACTGATTGTGGAACTGTAGTGAACCCCACATTGGGGAAATTTTTTTCTATCTAAGAAACTCTCAGCAAAAGTTATCTCATTGTTAAAAATCTAATTCCATTCTCTAATCCTTTTCACCATAAGACTTAAAAGACATTGCTTTGTTGGTGGAAGTAGTGCACAGGCAGGAATGAGGGTTTAAAGCCATTTCACAAATATTTCTAAAATATGTTTAGTTGTTCAACATGCATCTAGTCCATTAGGAGTTTGAACAAGAAAAGCTAGGTGGGCCCCTGTTCTGATCTGGAAATGACAGTTAAGCAGCTTTAAGACGAGCCCTACAGGTCCATAATTAGTAAGTTTGGTAGAAAGGGTTACAGAATTGCTATGGTGCACATAAAAGCAAGAAAGGAGAAAGAAATGACAACAGAACTTTCTATAGGGGAGCTTAAAATGATAGCTTTGTTTCAGCATTTAGAGGGAAAACCTGGTTAAAGAAGAATTTTCTGCAGCTGTTGCTTGACAATTTTTAGATGAGGGAAATGCTATGTTTTTTATTCAATATGCTTTAAATATGGAAAAGTATCAGAGGTTTTAATATTAACTTTGCTTGTTATATCTAAAAAATGGGGGGGGAGTTTTAACTTTTTTGAAGGATGATTTTTTTTTTTTTAAAAAAGGGGGTAAAGGCATCCTCTGAGGAACTATTGATTTTTTTTCAGGTACAGATAAAAATTGTTTGCAGAACCTTATGCCACTGTTCATTAACAAACATGTAGAAAGCTGAAGGCTCCAGTGTCATATGACATATCTGAAGGTCAGCTAAAGCAAATATGAGACAATGTGTTCATTTTTAGTTTAAAAACAGTAACAAAACAAAAAACTTCACTCCTCAAAAAAGCTGAGCACTTGACACTCTCAGTTATCATTTTGATAATGTTTGCAACCATGATTTTAATAATTTCCTGCCTCTAAAATGCCAAAGATTCTCTTACAAGTGTTTGAATGTTCACCTGGTTTATATTCCAGTTTGTGTTGGGCAAAAATAACCCCACGTTTAAAATCTGTGTAAGTGCATTGATAGCACATTGAAATACTATTGAAATAAACATTGAAAAAATGTTTAGTCATCAATTTAAGCAATTGTTGAATTGTAATATTCAAAACTTTTCTGTCTCTCAGATTCAGAGAAATAGCAGGGGCCTTAGAAGAAGCACTTTCAGATACACTGGAGGAAGCTCCAGGTAAACTTTTATTGCAAAAAATAATTTATCTATTGTGAAGGAATCAGTGGTATAAGTAGCAGTGGTTACTCTCTGTATGTTGAGTATTTAGTAACATGCATCCCACAGGTTCGCATGAGCTTTCTGTTTTCTGACAAACTGATTGAACAGTAGAATACGTTTTTATAGAGGAGGCAATATGAAGAGTACTGTTCAGTGATCACTTTACTTAGTAAAACCACCCCTTTTGGCAGCAACCATTAGCATATTTGTGGAACTATCCCCTCAGTGCAAGAAGGAATTAAATTGGCATTTGGCATCCTATAAATTACAATCAAAAGGCTATGCTGGTTTTTTTGGGCATATTTTTCTTAATTGTTGTAGTGCTGTGTAGAGGTGAAAATGACTATCTGTTGGCAGCATTTAGACCTGCTATGGTTTATAGCATTGGTGTCTGCTCCTAAAAAATACATTGATTTATGAGCAGATGAGGAGGTATGCACAGGGAGGATTAGAGTGGAAGGGAAAACCTGGTATATTCATTAGAAGTATATTGTAATCACAAAAACTTACTTCAGTTATCGGAGTAAATACTTATGAAGTGTACACACACACACACATGCTCTCTGAAGAGAGAGAAGGAGAAAAAAAATCCTAATGGAGACGAAATGCATAAATCCTGCCACTTTTAAGGTGTTTGCCTGGAACTTGCAGACACATTCGTTAGTTTTCAAATTGTATGCTATAAAGTGTTAATGTGTGATCTGCTTTAAAAGTATTTGTTTTAAATATGAATAGTCTTACTGTGTTTTGAATGAGTATTTCTAGCAGATATCTCGGCTATAACTGTGACAGGAGCAGTAGTTTAGCACTAAGGCAGAATTACTGTTATGGCTGGCAAGCATGTCTAACATAACTTCTTCATAAGACAGATAGATATTGTCTGGGAAATGCTATCTCCTGAAGTAGATTATTTGGCCAAGCTGTTCCTGCCTTTGTTGCAGGCAAATTCTTATTTGTTGCTTTTGCCTGCACAGCTACAGTAAGAGAGTGGAACTTGAAATCTAAAACAATGAGGAGCTACTATTCCAAGAGTTTGTTTCAGGGAATACTTAAGAAATCTGCTTTGCTATCTTTGTGATTGTGTCTCTTTGGAAGAAATTTTTCTTTTTTTCTTTTTTTTTTACTCTCAGGTAATGCAATTACAGTAATGTTACATCTTTTAAAAATGTGCTTAGGAACTTGACCTTTGTTGTCTGATTGTTTCTAGCTGGCAGCTCATTCTGTCTTTTGGCCACTCACATGGTCTGGATGAGTCTCCTGAAGTGCTGGTCAGATCAAATGTTTTTACCATTATTAGCACACCGTCTGTGGAAACTTAGTCTACAAATTTTAGCGCGCTACTCTGTGTTCATTGGTGAGGTAAGAGAACAACATGCTTATGGTTTTGGTCATTGGTTATGTCCATCAATAAGAGACTTTTTGAAACAAAGTATGTGACCTCTTTTTAAGTGCTTTTTTCCTGAACTTAACATTCTTTAACAAGAACACTGTTAACCAGTTCATGAGGTTTTTTTATAAAAGATATCACTGCAAAATATGTCATTAACCACAATACTAGTGCTGTTGTGGTATTATTGTCTGATGGTTGTCAAGGCTGTACTTCTATGTATGCTTAAGGCTGCCTCTGATGCTGAAAGAAGTAGCCACAATCTTTTGATTTTGTTCTGTTTGTGTAAGCGTTTAGTCATTGATACAGTGAACAAGGTTGTTAGACTGAGCCAGGTGAAAACAAACCCTGAAAAAAAAAAGGGGGGGGGCGGTTCTGATATACTCAGAATTCAATTTGAATTCTGCGTATATCCAAAGATGGCAATTTCACGCCTCTCTGGGAACCCTGGTCCAATGACTGACCACTTTCTCCTCATATTTGATCAGAATTTCCCCTGCTACAGTCCATGTCTGTTGCCTCTTACTCTGTCACCCTACGTCAAGGAAAAGTATGATTCCACCTTCTCTATACATGCCACTTAGATATGAAGACAGCAGTAAGATCTCCCTTTATCCTTTCTTTAAGACTGAATGACTCAGTTCTCGCAGATAAATTGGCTCATGAAAAGTACTGATAAGTACCAGAGTTAAACAGAGTAGTTGAGTGAAGCATGTGCCTGACAGCAGAGCCCTTGAGGAGGTAGGAGAAAGGGGTTGTTTCAGAGCAATGAGTGGTTATGATTTTTGTATTCTGGCATATGAAAACAAACTGTCTTTCTGTGAAGCAGATAATGATCAAATTTTTGGTCTTGTGCATTCCTCCAGTTCAGTGGCTCATTTGAACACCACACAGGTGAAAGTTGCTGTAGCACTGGACTGCCTTCTTTTATAGTGACAGATTTGCTCCAAATCATCCAACTCCTCTGCACCAAAAACTGTTTTAAAAATATCTTTTTAAACGTAATTTAGGAATGCTAATATCCCTTGTAAGTGTGTCATTCTAATGCTGAGAACTTACAAATACTTTATATACTGTTCTTGTTTGTCCAGCTTTAACTGCCTTCACTGTTGCTGGGGTTCACATCTCAGTTTGACGTTTCAGGTTTCTGTGAGGCCCATTTCCAGGGAGAATACGAAGGAAAGCAAAAAATCAGTGCCAGTTGGTAGAAAAGAATCTTCTGTAAGCCTCAACCCTGGTGAGGACCAAGGGAATGGGTCTTCTCCAGAAAGTCAGCCGTTGCCTTCTGTATCTAGTACTCAGTTGGTATATGTTGCTGCAGATCTGGACAAACTCCAGGATCAGGTTTGTGCTTGTGACTTTACTTACAAAAGAGTCTTTGTTGATCTGTGTGCCAATATTGTTTGGCATCTGGTTAAACACGTTAAATTGTTTAAAAAAAATATACCATAAAACTATTCTTTTTAATCTTAAATGCTAAAACTGGAGTAGTCTGATACAAAAAATAACACCTGAAATAAGTATTCTATTCTGTGCTTATTTGGAATGGCAGATTACAGAGAAACCACTTCAGGTATTTAAACTCTTTTTATCAGTAGCTGCTGGACTTACCCCTAAAACAGTATGTTTCTGCTCATTTTTTGGTGCAGAGTGTCACTGTGCCAGAGTCTTACCTTTGCTAGTAAAACCACTGTTGGAGCTTGGAGTGTGGTGTGATATTCAACTTCAATATTATGTTGTCTTTTAAATGTTTACTCGTTTTAGTCTTTGAGCTTGAAAAAGGTTTTATCATCATGAGTATACTTTACTGATGATCCAGAATCGTGAGAAGAATGTATGGTATTAATTTTCTTCTAGCAGGGATGACTTCTGTGTATTTTTGGTCAATAAGGCTGAAATTTCTGTAATTTGTGAAGTTGTAAGTTGCATCTGGGTTGATAATATTTTGTGAATTTTAAATTTTTTCTTGTGAAGACAATAGTAGGGTAGGGGACTTGGTGCATAGGCCTTAATTCCTGTGAATATATTTTATTCTTCTAGTACTGGTTTCCCAGAAATTCCCAAAAATACAGAAAAGATGGAAGGTGTCTTTTGATGCACTGGAAAAGTACAGAATGTAGGAAAAGTAATTGAAATGTGTTTATAACATGACTATCTCTTCGTGTTTTTTTTAATTCAGATTCCTGACATCTTAGAAATGATTAAACCAAAACTTGAAATTATTGGCTTCAAGAACGTATCTTGTATTGCAGGTAAAGCTGCAGTCTCTTTCCCCTTTCTCCCAAATCCCTGCTGCCGAACAAACCAAATCAGCTTTTACACACAGTTTCATTATTTACAATGAAAAAATTTAAATTACTAATGTTTTTTATTACTTAATGAGGCTTGCTTTAGGTTTAAATGTTAAATAGAAACTATTTTGAACAGACATGTTGAATCTGGAAAAATTTGATTAAAATTGAATGAGTCTGAAGTGTTTTCGCTTTTGGGGAGGGAGTTGTGGGGAATTTTTTTTAAGAAACTTGTCATTGTCCAGTAATTAGGATGCTGCTTCAGGAAGTGGGGGACCTTAGACTAGAAGATTCATATTGTTATCTTTAAACTCCTACTTGTGGAGGAAATGGGAAAGAAGTAAGGAGAGACTTTCCATTATCCAGTTGAAACTAAAATATTTTTCCAAAAAGATTTTTCCTCTCTGGCCTAATGAATGATGTAAGGAGGAGAGTTAGGAAAGTTTCGTAGTTAAATATCTTCATAAATAACTTCGGAGAATAGAAGCAATTAAGTATTTTAGCCTCTTTTTTTTTAATCTGATCATTCTACAAGTGAAACATGGAGTCTAATTTTAGTTCAGTAATTAAAGCCAGGCATGTAGCTGGGTGAGTGAACTGGTGTTCAAGTAGAGCCAGAAGTTCTCTGCTGTGAATTCCACTCAAATCTCTAAATCAGGATTATTGGTGGATGTCCAAGTCCATAAGAGAGGTAGGAGCTTGTGCACATCCCCCACTCAGTAGATGGTCTGTTGTCAATCAGAACTTTAAGTTGAGCATGTTCCAGTCACTTCATAAGGAATTTAGGTACTGTGAGAAAGAATTTCACAACCACTGTTTCCTTGGTAGGTCAGAGCCTTTTGATTCAAGCCCCTTGCTACATTGGTAATACGGAAAAAAAAAGTGAACCTGGAGAATATTACTTTCCCCCTTTTTTCTTTCCTTCCCTCCATCTGTTTGTCTGGTTGAGGAATGGCTGATGTTACTGGTGATGTTTTATAAATGGTTGGTGTGTGTTTATTTAGTAAGCATCCTGTACCTGACACCAGCAGCTATCTATGATGGTGAGCATTGAGATGATGGGAGGGTCACATAATTTATGTTGTGATTGGGCAGGGTAGCTCAGTTTAAACTTTAGCATTTTTACTTCAATAGGAGCCTTGGAAGACTCAAAGACTTCTTTATCAGCCTGTGTGCCTACCTTGAATAACAGGATTATCCAGGATCTCAGTGAGTCCTCCTTCGCTTACCTGAAGAGTGCACTTGAAGTTCCAAGATTATACAGGAGAACCAATAAGGTCAGTGCTGGTTGCAGATGAAATAATGTATCTCGGAAAAGCCTATGCTAAGATTGTTAACTGGGCAGTACATTTATGAGTTCTTCAGGGTTGTCCATATCTGCTTGATAGTCAGGAGTCCTATTAAATACCTTGAGATAATTTAGTGATTCACTGTTTACCTCATTGCAAAGAAAAAAAAAAAAAAGGGTATTTTCAAAATTTTAGGTAGGGTAACAATGATGAGGGCACAGGCCTGAGATAGAGAGAAGGGCATGGAATAGAACTGTTGATGTGCAAAAGAAAAAGGGTTAATGAGAATAAATGTGTTTCTCTCATGTCATACCATGTACCATAGGATGCAGTGTTGCTGGGTGGCAGGCTTCTTTTGGGAGGATGACGTTTCTGCCTGCTAAGTCAAGAAACTTCTTCCCAGTGAGCTAGCTGCTTGGATTTGATTCAAGAAGTATCTTGCACAGAAGAAAGAACATGAGAATAGCTAAAAAGAGTAATTTGTTGAGAAATTAATAAATAGTAGTGGTGAAATACAGTACCAAAACAGATTGTCTGATCTTGGCTTCTTCTCCGATTGTGACTTGCCTTTGCCAGTCTGTCTGCACACTTGTGTTGGTAGTTAGCTTGGTATCATTCAGGCAATAGAGAAGAATTTCAGTAATGAGAACCACAGACTGCTACATCCTTGCCTAATTGGAACACAGAAGGCAGGCTGAAATTGGCAAGGCCGCTGTTCTTTCCCGTTCATCCCTCTCCACTTGCTCTCTCTTGCTACTTGTTTGTGGGGTGTTTTTTGTTGGGGGTTGGGGGAGGGTTGCCTTGGGTCACCAAAATCCAAAGCACTTTCCTGGCTGTCCTGGAGAAACTGCGCTGCCACCAGCAATGTTGTACTTTTTCAATGGCTAAATGGAAAAAAAAATTAGAGCTGTTAAGTCTACTTCTTTCAAGGATGTTAAATTTCTTTTGGGTGGTAAACATTAGGGTAAGCTGGAAGAGAAATTTTTCCTGAGGGAGTAATTTATTACTTCAGTTTATTGCTAGGGTTTCTCACTATCTTAGTTTTAAGGACGTACTTAATCAGAAATGGTATTTAAAAAGAAGAAACAACCTCAAGGCTAATAAAATCATCTATGTAGTTACTAGATTGTTCTGTCTTTAAGAGAGCACATTTTTACTTAAGGAAAGAGTATAACAAAGTATGTAAGTCCAAGGAGGGTGAAAAATCCAACAACCCTATGCTGCTTAGCTCAGTTACCTGAAAGCAAACGCTGCATAGGGATTTACTGGACTGCCACCATCTCGCAGTTGTCCATGGGATGTTTAAGCAGATGGTGGGCTAACTGTGCCAAAACAAAGGCATAGGACCTGGCCACCTTCAAGTCAGTCATATTGCTAGCTCGAGCTCCATACTCCATGAGTGTGACTGCATTGCTGTCTTGACCATCAGCTTGACTTGCTTTATGTGGTGTGAAGCCTGAACTGATAAGCAGGAGAGAGATGACTTGGGTAGAGAAGGTACGTTATTACAGTCATGTTAAGTTCTGGCAACTTTGTTTTTACTATGTTCTAGTACTTTGATTTTTCAGCAGAATTCAGAATTTGGCATGAGGTTAGTCTTTGCAGGAACCAGATGTGCAAAGACTCTTTTTGCTTGGCCAAGTTCTAAGATTCGGAACTCTTAGGAGGTTAATGAGATATTTCAGGTGTCAGAGATTTTGTGTACCCTGGATATGATCTGTTGCTTTGCAGTGCATGAGGTTCACCGAAGCTATATGTGGATCATCCCTGGAGAGATGAAGCATTCTGCAACCAAAACTAGCTGAGAAGATGATAGTGAGGGGATATTAGTTATCCCAAAAGCATTCTTCTGGAAAGTATACTGAGGGAGCAGGATGGATAAGAACAGAAGGAACAATGTCTCCAGTTGAGTGAAGTATAGTAGGAAATAGTAGATTTTTCAACACAGACACAATAGTCTGTTGTGGACACTGAGTCTGCTCAGCTTTCTCTGAAATCAGAGTGAGCAGAAAGCGCATCCAGGATCATGCCCTGATAATAGGAGTGGCTAGCTGGCACATGCATCTCTCAGAAGGCTTTGGTCATTTTGAACCTTGTTCTATATTATACCACATTGTATACCACTACTGAATGATTTTGAGACCATGTCTTCCCTACATATGATGACCTCTACATTGATTTGTTGTGAATGGAGTATGTATCTCTTTGCTTAGGTGCAGACTTAATGTTTTATATATGTGCTAGAAATCAGTGTTGATATTTTCAGTAAGTAAATTACTGGGTTTTTTTCCCCACCTTGTTTTCTGTCATCTACCAGGAGGTGCCAACTAAAGCTTCACCTTACGTTGACAGTGCTCTTAAGCCCTTCTACCGCCTGCAGAATGACTACAAAGATACATTGAAGCAGCCCATGATTCATCAGTGGTTGGAAGGTGCCCTCTCTGAAAGCACACAGAAGTAAGAGAACCATACAAAACATTTTTTGCATTAATTAAAAACTCCAATATCCATTGAATGGGCACAGGAAAAAACCAAAACACCATGAATTAACTCAACTGTAAAGAAACCAAGAATATACCTCTCTTTCGGCAGGGTATATTTCTTCAGATTCACTCTGGTGTTGTATATTCAGCAGGTGAAAAGCAGAGCAGGGAATCCAGAGACCTGGCCTCTGCTCACATCTGTGCAAACCGTGACATTGTGGATAGGGAATTTGAAAAATTGTTTAGCTCTAGTAATGCAATGGTGAACTAAAAATTCGCATTTTCTTTCAGAATTGACATAAGACCTTAATCTCATGTTATTTTCAGTGAACAATGGTCAAATTTTCAAGAAACTTGAGTTCTACTTTCCTTTGACTATTTTAAAGTATGTAATGATCATCCAACTTTTTAGTGGTTTAAAAAAAGCTTTGCTTTTTTTTTAACTGCTGAAGAGCTCACTGTTCACAGTTTAAGTAGTCCTAAAGCAATACTTTCTTTAGTGGATCTTCTGTTTCCTTGTTAGCATCTTGAGGACTTCTTAAGCATGAATATACATCTGCATTAAGTTCGTTAATGGATTTTGTTTTGGTCTATTTGTCTGGTTGTATTTTAAATTCATACTACCATGGGATGTTGCATTCTGTAAGTTCAACCAGTTAAACTGTGTAACATGAAAAACCAGTACTTGATTTTGTTTGGGAGTTCTGCCAGATAATTTCACAGGATACTCCCTACTTTTCTTGCATTGTGGTCAATTTATTCCTTGTGCCAGCTATTATTTTTTATACCTCTGTAATCTTGCTTCAGACTAAAGAATCCCCTTAGCCTATTTTGATGTTTCTTTCTTCCCCATCTTTATAGTTGTTGTTTGCTGGTTTTCTTTGTTCTTCCGGGTCATAGATGGTATGATCAAAAGAGCTCATGCAGGTTAAAGTGTGATGCTGTTATTTCTTGTCTGTCCTTACATGGTTTTCGTAATAATTCTTTGCATATTGTCTTGTCTGTTGACTGCTGCTGAGCATTGGGTTCGTGTTTTCTGAGAATTAGACACATAATACTGAGGCTTTAAACTGTAGTCAGAATATGAGTTCTTTCCTGCCCTTTGCCTCTTTATCCGTCCCTGCTGCTCCACTGCTGGCACGTCTCAGGTTCTTATTAATGCCCAATGCATCTGCAGCGCTTTGCACTCACTTTTTTGGTTATTCAGAATAAACGTAAAATTATAAGACAATTTTGACACTCAAATATTCACCAACTGTCCCTAAAATTACTCTTAAGTATTTTGGACAGGTTTGAGCGTAGATTGTTCTGGATTCCACTGATCACTTCCATTTTGCACAAAACCTCCTTTTTCAAGCTTGGTCTCTCTTCTTTCAACCAGTTTTTTAGTCCATAAAAAGAAGCTTACTCTTAACCCACAGCAGTTATGTTTGTTTAAGTAACATTGCTGAAGGACTGCAAAGATTTCTGGAATGTCAAGTTGCATGCTTGTAGACCTAAAGTATCTTAGAGTGGTTTCTTGTCTGTCTGCCTACCTCTCTGTGTCTAGTAAGCCTTGCTTTTAAAGCTCTACTAAATCTGGTGACACCATGCAAAATAAGTAGCTGTTCTGTAGTTCCTTGGATCCAGCCAGAGCTTTTTCCCCCCCAGAAAAGCAGTTTCTCACTTTCTGTGTGACTGACTTAAGTGCTAGCTTAAATACAGTGGTAGTCATTAAACATGGGTAAGACTGGGAGGTTCATTTGTTAATTCCTTAAAATTTTCTATTGAATTCTGTTTTTATGATTTGTTGCTACTATTTTTATCAGTTTCTTCTAAAATGTCTTATCCTCACTGAGCCAGAGACAAAGAAACTAAATTTCCTAAATGGAGGAATATTGTAGTTTCTTCATTGAGAATGCAGATGCAAGTAATTAATTTTATTTCCTGCTGTGACAGTATCTTCTTACATCCAAATCAGAAAAACAGAAAAGAGCATAAAGTGGTTAAAAATCACTGAGGGCTAAACTTGTTTAAATGGCAGAAGAACTTCAAAGTACAGCAGAAGTAGGAATTCTTCACAAGTGAGTGGGACTAAGAAATAACAAGATATGAAAAGAGAGCACGGTTGACTTTTATTGGTATATTTTTACTTTTTGTAGAATGGTATTTTGAAACTGTTTCCATGGCACTGGCAAGCACTTTTTCTTTAGCCATTCCTATCTAATTATCACGTAAAAAAGCTTGCCTGCTTTCTCTTGCCTCCTTGTTTAAAAGTAAGCATCAGGAAGATTCTTTCAGCTTTCTTAATTCTTAAAGTAGTAGTTTGATCAGTGTCATAGAGAGGCTCTTTGAAGGTTACAGATTTTAGCAAATTACAGAACATAGCTCAATCTGGTCACTTCTCTTATGGATCCTCTAATTTCCAATTGTTGCTCTATTTTCTCCTCATATCTATTCTTAACGTGCTCATATCTATTTTTAACTTGCTGTCCTGGGCATCTGTTAGTTGATGTGATGCCCTTCCCATTTAGGCATGGGATTTCAGTCCACAAGGCTTTTTGAACTTTTTTTCATTAGTTGATTTACCTTGTTTGATTCTATGGTTTCTTTAATGTGGATTCCAGTATGTGGGACGTGGTGCTTTATTGCATCTATATCATGTCTCACTTGGCATTAGTGTTCTCCTGGCTTTCCTGACAGCTTCCTGAGAGTCCTGTTTAGATCAGTTTCTTCATTTTAGAAATAGGCATTTCTGACTGGCATGTACTTGCATGCTCTCATATACATGTACACTTCTATAACTTGTTTAAAACTATCTCTTTTTTGGTCTGTCAGGCTGCTATTCTTGTCCTGTTTGTAAAAGGAATTTTACTTAGCGCTCTATTGGTTGTAAATAGAGGCTAATTCAGACTGAAATTGAGCAATTGCATTCTTTGGTCTCTATTCAGTTCAAACATCTTGAGCAGGTCAAAAATGTTGTGATGACAAGGAGGCTTCAACACCGAATAGTAATCTTCAGATTGACCTCTAGAACTAATTATGGAAATGTTGATTAATTGATAGCTTCCTCACAAGGAAAACTACTCCTCCCAGCATTGTTCAGCATTCTTCTCAGGGCCAATGGTGTACTGATGTGCATGAAGTAGACTTGTCTGTAAAAGTGTAATTTTTTTCCTTTCTCACTAATCTTCCTTAATTTAGGTATTATGAAACTGTATCTGATGTGCTAAGTTCTGTTAAGAAAATGGAAGAGAGCCTGAAAAGGTTGAAGCAAGCCAGAAGAACTGCAACTTCAAACCCTGTTGGTACAAATGGGGGCATGAGTGATGATAACAAAATCCGACTGCAGCTGGCCCTAGATGTTGAGTATTTTGGAGAACAAGTAAGTTATGAGAAACAAATTTGTCACTGGTTTTGGAAGGGAATGAGAAAGAGGAGGAAAGGGAAGCTTGGGTTAGTTTTTTGGTCATGAAAGCTTTGTCAGTGTGGGTTGGTTTTGGGGGTTTGCTTTGTTTTTTTCACATGTGTATAATGGAGGCTACTTGAGACCTTGGTGATTGTAGGTGCCGCTTGAGCAATGCGTGCTCTCCTCTCCTTTCTTGTACAAATGCAAAACTTCTTATACAAATGGAAGCTTAGAAGCACAAAGAAGAAACACTATGTGGACAGATCAGAGGGCAGGGACCTTCCTTAGCTCTGATGGAAACATCTTTATGGCCCTGCTTTTGTTTGCCTTCTCTCTGGATATTTACAGCCCTGACTTACTGCATAGTCAAGGGCCTATTCCCAAGAGCTTTGAAGATATTAGTGTTATTTGTTGTGCTGTGTAACTGTAAGTTCCTTTCGGTGCCAAACACGAAACCTTAAATAACAAAACAAATAAATTCCAGGCAATGCGTGAAGTAGCTACATCAAATTGTATAAGCATACTGTTTTGTACTCATTTATTTCTGAAAATTACATATTGAAATAAACAAACTTCCAAGTGCAAGTCCGTATCATTAGCTGCCAAGAAGTTGTCGTCAGTCTTGTTTATGAGCTGATGCTGTTGATGCATTATAACAGGTAGATAAAAACTGCCTGTGTGTGAGCAGATGCTTTTCTCCTATCTGAGAATTATCACAGAGGAAGAAGATTTGGGTGGAAGTATGAAAATCTTACTAACAAGAACTATTTATTTGACTGGGTTTGGGCTTTTGTTCTTTTATTCCAATTATGTGCACTAGCATCACTGCAATGTGAATTTAAGCTGAACTGGGATAGACTATTCATAATCATTTCGGAGCTGCTTTGGTCCATGTGAACATTACAAAGAGTTCCAGCAGCAAACACTTTTTCAGAATCATTTAATTATGATTTTATTTAGATCCAGATTTTTCTTTTTCAGTGCACTCTTAGTTTTCTCATGGCCATATTTTTCTAATTGTCAGGGCAATATATTTCCTGGGTAAGAAATGACTCATAGCAACCTCTCTATTTGTAGAGTTGTTTTCATCCCCCAGGAAGTTCGTGGCTAGAATCATAGGCTCTTGCAGCCTACTGAAATGCTTTCATCATCATGCTGTTGGCTGTTCTTGGATATATTCATGTTTATCTTTAGAGTTTTGCCCAGAAACCTCATTTGGGGTTTGAAAAAAATTCAGTTAAAATCAATGCATTAAAAACAAACTTACAGCCAAGTTTCCTTTTCTGACTCTTTCATTGGAAAACTTCCAACTGGCTTTAGTTACAAGTTGCCTAGAAGATGGTTAAATATTTTCCTGCAAGACACTACATTAACTGGGAAGACTTAACTGAACAAAGTTGGATACAAATTTTTTTTATAGCTTGCATTACATGCAGTTGTGTTTTTTTGCCACACATAAACACAGGACAAAACATGTGCTTTGCTAGTTGTTTTAAGTAGAATAATTAATGAGCTTTTGATGTTTTAAAGAAAATTAATGTTTCTTCTCTGTCTTTTTAGATACAAAAGATGGGACTGCAAACAAGCAGCATAAAAAGCTTTTCAGCCCTTGCAGAGCTGGTTCTGGCTGCCAAGGACCAGGCTACAGCGGAACAATCCTAGATAGTTTTGAAAGCCCCTACAAGAAAGAGAGAGAATTTAACTCTTCTTTATTTTAACAAATAAGTAGCAATGAAGTGCTTCCTAATGTATCTCGAGCAACAAATCAGCGCATCTTCGGTCAAGATAGGCTTCTTTCACCAAAAGACTGAGAATTTAACATAGTTTTCCATTATATGGAAAGCAATCAAAAGTTCTAAACCTTCTACAATACAATAAAAGTGGAAAAAAATGGTTTTTTATTTTTGTTGTACATCTTAAAATGTAGAAGAATGAACTTATATGATGAAGATAATAGGTAATAAATTGTCTTCCTAACTTTTGATGTCCCATGTGTTTTTGAACCAAATGTATTCATTGATGGCTGTCAAAAGCTTTCAAAGGGACTTTATTCCAGCTCTTCTGGAATAAAGAAAGTGCTCACAGGAATAGGAATCTGCTGTTTCTTGTTACTTTGCACTTACCTCCTTTCTGTCATCATGGGATATAGTTCGCTCTTGTTTGGGTTTTGAATGCTTTCACTCTACTGATTTATTTTTTTCTCATGGACCGTGTTGGTGAGAAGCATTGCATAAAAAAAGCTCTTAAAGTACTTTAAATTTCAAAAATAATTTCTAGTATCAGTATCTAACTTACTGACTGTTACATTCAGGCTATCTGTTTTCTTTCAAACTAAAACTTAATTCACTAAGCTAAAATTTATTCAGAGTTGGGATATTTCTGATTTATATTATATTGTCTATTAGAATTCAGGGGAATATTTTGCCTGAATACATGCAGAATTCTTGTAACATCAGTACAAGGTGCATCTTTATATAGCAGGAAATTTGAAAGTGTTATTAGGGTTTTAAATGGTAGAAGGATTACCAAAAGGCTCTCTTGAACCTGGAGTGAATTGCCTATTGACACTTCTCTTTTATATGTGAGGGACAGGTAGTACAGTCTGGGGACAGTAGGAGGTGAATTTGAGGCTTTCAAATGAGAGAATGCCCTGCATGAGTGAGGGAGTGTTGTTTGGTTTTTTTACCCTGTGAAAATTTAACACTGGAATCCCACTTCATGTTTATTAATTAAAAATACCCAGTTCTTCCTGAAGTATTTGGAGAGCTTGGGTCTTAATAGAGGAGCCAAAGGTGATGCAGATCTTCCAAGTACTTAGAGAGATGGAGTTTGCAGCACATGGCTGTTATGTAGCATTGAAGTTGTGGTGAGCAAACCTTTCACAGCATTAAGGCTTTTATTCCTCACTGTTGGAGAACTGACCATATTTTAGTTGAGACACACAACTATGTGATCACTGTGCTTTTGAAGCATTTAGGATAGGTGACTATTATGACTTTTCTAAAATTAATTTTATGAAGGGGGGCAGTGGGGAAAGTACTTCTGCTTAAAATTATGTTGGTGGTTCTTGGATTCAGTCTGAGTAATGGAGAGCAGGATTTGGCTCTTCTAATTTGCCTAGCATCTCTGTGTTCATGGCAACGTATACAGTTGAGAGAGCATCCAAATTTATTGCTGAAGGAAGAAACAGCAAAGTGAACCAACTTGCATGGATGTCAGACCTGTTTGTCTCATTCAGTGACGTGGAGATCCTCAGCCAGCGAAGGGCTTAGGTACACACTACTGAATGAACGTAACTCTTACTACTTATGCACAAGAAGATGTGTGTATTTCTCCAGGCTTCTAACTGATGGACCTAGAAGGCTTGGTCTCTCTGCACCCCTTAGTTTGCTTTTACTAAGAGTCGGGAGTAGAGGCGTCTTGTTGCCACTAGCTACTGTTGTTGTCAATTGTGTTTTCTTAATTTAAAATGAATGTGTAAGTTGTAGCCTGAGACTGAGATTGTAGTGTTGTAAATGCATTGTGCAACTTCTTATTTTGGAAGATGTGTATCTTTATAAATTTAAATTTCTATACCAGCTGTCACTAAAGTAGCAGATTCTGACATCTATGCATACTGGTGGCTGAAGATAGAACAGCTTTGTTTGTATCCTCCAAAGTCAGGGAAAAGGATGCAATCTGTGTACCAAACCAGAGAGGCATGAAAAGGTTACTTGCCCTTTTGTTAACGTGATTTCATGCACCTTCCTGCAGTAACAATGCTTTCTGCTTGTCATCAGCAGCTTGCTGAGTATACAGGCTGAATTCTTTTCCACTGAAGACCAGCATTAATTTCAGGGCAGGAAATAACATTGTAGAGCAAATCAAAATTATTGAATGGTTTTATGATTGCTGTAAATGTCTACATCACTGGTTTTATGTCAGTTCCCCATTTTTTATTTTTGTTCACTTGAATAGTATTTAATTTTCTTTCAGTGGAATACAACATTAGTTAAAAAATTCTGTGATACCCCTGTTGAAAGAAAGAAGTGTGAATTGCCTTTGTCTTTGGTAAGGTGAATACTAGCATTTTCAAATACTGTGTATCAGTCAGGAGGAGAGGATCTATCATCACATAAGTGTATGTGCTCTGATAGAGATAAAGATGTCTTCTGCCACTAATCTTCTTTTGTCTATTCCTCCAGATTTTTAATTTCTTTTTTTAAGTGCACCTCACTTCATGACGGTAATGCGGATTTTGTGCCTTTTTCTTCTTCCCTTCTAGGACTTGTAGAAAACCTGTACTCGGCACTGGTGAGGCCGCACCTTGAATACTGTGTTCAGTTTTGGGCCCCTCACTACAAGAAGGATGTTGAGGTGCTGGAGCATGTCCAGAGAAGGGCAACGAAGCTGGTGAGGGGTCTGGAGCACAAGTCTTACGAGGAGTGGCTGAGGGACCTGGGCTTGTTCAGTCTGGAGAAGAGGAGGCTGAGGGGAGACCTTATCGCTCTATACAACTACCTGAAAGGGGGTTGTGGCAACGCGGGTGTTGGTCTCTTCTCCCAAGTAACTAGCGATAGGACGAGAGGAAATGGCCTCTAAGTTGTGCCAGGGGAGGTTTAGATTAGATATTAGGAAAAATTTCGTCACCAAGGGAGTGGTCAAGCATTGGAACAGGCTGCCCAGGGAGGTGGTGGAGTCACCATCTCTGGAAGTATTCAAAAAACGTGTGGACGTGGCGCTTTGGGACATGGTTTAGGGGGCATCGTGGTGTTGGGTTAGTGGTTGGACTTGATGGTCTTGAAGGTCCAACCTTAATTATTCTGTGATGCTATGCTTTTCTAAGTCAGGAAGGAATTTGGCTGGAAGAGGTTCTATATAACAGCATTGAGGAGGGGAA